TCCTAGCATCAGTAATCATCAAAGCAATTTAAGTCAGGAGTAAAGAGAAATAGCACCTCAGGCCCTTGAGCATGGCTGCTATGAGACCGTCAAGAGATAGCAATGGGGAGTTTGTGCAGAGAAGGTCTTCTGGTACACTGTTGGTGGGAATAGAAGTGAGCGCTGCCATTGAGGAAGGCAGCGTGGAGGCTCCTGAAAACAGTAACAGGAGATCCGGCACAGCATTGTGGTGTATTTGTCGTAAGCCTCCACCTGCAATGCCAGCATCCCATATGGGAGCAATTTGAGCCCTGGCTGTTCCACTTCTGATCCAACTCCTTGCTTCCTAACTGGTGCTCTTGGGAATCAGAGCTCTTGCCTCTTGCTTCGAAGATGGGCTAGGCTCCTGGGTCCTGAGCATATCTCCAGTGGAACAAGTTAGAACCTCAAAGGGATATCAAAGGGATACTCACTCTCCCACGTTTACTGTAGTACAACCTGATTCGTTTATTTGAAATTCTTTATTGTAACATAGTGGACTAAAGTCTAATGGTTGCACATTTTTGTGGTGTAGCACACAATTTTTCCACATGCGTACGCAGTGGAAACTAATAAAACTTGCCAATTAGCATTTTCATTTTCTTTTGTTTTGCGTTTCCGGGCTACCCCAGCTCCTCTGTTCCAGCTCTTTGCTTAGTACGTGGTATCTTTCTGAGAGTACAGTTACCCCACTGTGCTTAGGAACACGGGAACTTGTCACCCAGTGTGACCGTGTTTGAAACTTCTTATCCAGCCTTCCACTAGCCCTCTCCACCTCCACGCTGTCCTGGGTGGCAGTGAAGAACTACCAAGTTCAGATCTGCATTCTTTGTTTCTTTTTCCTTCTCGTTTCTTAACTTTCGCAGATGAACCAGGTCATACACCGTTTGTGTTTCTGTGTCTGCCTTGCTTCACTGGGCATGGAGGTCCCTGGCTCCTTCCATTTTACTGCACTGTACTGTTTTTAGGAGGAAGCATTTACAGGGTAAATGAGGGCATGAGGTCAGTGTCCTTTGTAAAAAGAGGAGCAGAGAGCAGAGCTCACGTGCCGGGTCTGCACATGTGTCCAGGAGGCACCATGGAAGGCCACAGCTGGAGGACGAGACCTCAGTAGACACCGGTTGTCCTGGGACCTACCCAGCCTCCAGAGCTGTGAGAAATTCAGTCTCCATGCTTTTTTACCCACCCACTCTCGGGTGTAGTTTCTTGGCAGTCTGCACAGGCTAATGCGGATCTGGTTACCAAAAAGTTAAGTGCTTAATAAACAAAAACTATGAAAGCACGGCTTTGGAACAAGGTGGTGGGTAGAGGCTAGAGGAGTTGTGAGGTATGTGCTAGAAATACGGATGTTAAAGCTTGTTCTGTTGGGGCAGAGGGACGGACAGCTACAGAAACGCTGTGTGCTCAGAGCAGGTGGATGTTCGAGGGCAGAATTTTGATAGGAATAGGTCTTAGGCAGAAATGCGTAGCCTGTTCTTGGAAACTGCAGGAAAGGTGATCCTTGTTCAAAAATGACCAAAGTCCCGGGGCTGGACTGTGTTTGTGTTTTAGTGTTTTGCAGTAGATTGGATTTGTGAATGAAGAAGTAACATAATTAGCAGAGGAGTTTCCCAGTCAAAATGTTGAAGGTACAGCTTGGCTCCCGCTTAAATGCTTACAATAAAATGCAAAAAACGAGATGAGTTGAAGGGATTGTCAAGCAAGAAGGAACCTCAACTTGAAGACTTCCAAATGCAACGTGCGAAAGATTTGAAAAGGTTGTCAGTGATCACACTGTGCGAAGAGGAAGACTTGCTCAAATGAGAGCAGAATGGATGTTGCTGAGCAAGCAGCGCGTCAAGGGAATCCCTGGATATGAGCCAGGGATCTGCTCATTTGTTTCAGCGGGAGCCAGGGATTGATATACCAGCAGAGTCACTGCTGCCTGGGACTACAGGAAGCAAATTATAGGGCAGAGTGAGGAAGGGCTGTGAACCTATGTTATTCTTTACAAGAAGGGAAGAATTACCCCCACGTTGATTCAGAGCTTGTTAGCACCTCCGCTCGCAGCAAGCCTCTGGCCAAGACTTCGTTCTAGCCATTCATTTTCAGGGACTTGTAGAAAGCCTAGAGGTGGGGCCACCCTTCAGAGCCCTGGCGCTGACACTGCCACCCTGTGGCCTTGCAGAGTAGAGCACTGAGCCTGTATCATGGAATTTGCCTTGCTGGGTTTGGGGCTTGCTTAGCACCCACCGCCTCTTTGGTCCTGCAGATTTGTCTGTTTGGAATGAGGCTTTCCTATCTGTGCCCTGCCACGACAGGTAGAAGGCACACAGTCTGACTGACTTCATGGGTTCATCACTGCTAGGAATTTTGCTCAGAATGAATCCTACCTCACCTCTTTCGGATTCAGATAACATTTAGACTTTGGACTTTAGAATTCAGAGTAAGTTAAGGGTTTGGGCTATTGGGATGGAATAGATGTGCTTGCATTTAACAAGGACATGCATGGCGGGTCCTGGGTAGAATGTTAAAGAAATGGGTGTTTACTCTTGAGAACTTCATGGCGTTGTAAATTTCTACTTTTCTTCCTGTTGTTGATTCTGTATTATGGCTTTTCATTTAAGGGGATGTGTGGTTACTATGTAATGGAGACTATCATATCCAGATGTGAAGATACAATGCAGTATGCGTCTCTACTTCCAGATCAAAGATGGACTCCCAATGAGACTGTTAACTATATTTTTTGACAGTAGGATGCTGGACTCTCTGCCATTGTCCATGCCTGCAATGATGAACATGTGATTATTTATGAATAACTGTACTATAGTAATAATATGGGGGAATTCATTGTGGGGAAGGTAGCTTGGGGAGGGGATAAGAAAAATCCTAGGGCCTATGGAATATGGAAATATATAATAAACTCATTAGAAAAGTTAAAAAAAAAAAAACTGGATGTTTATGTCTGCCTAAAACTCTTAGATTTGATACTCCAACTTCTAGTGTTTTTGGAGATTGGATCTGTGAGGAGATGATGAAGGTTAAATTAGATCATGAGTTTGGGCCCCCAAGGTCCAAAGAGCTGGTGCCCTTCAAAGAAGAGACACAAAATTGTCTTGTCTTTCTATACATACACTGAGAAAAAATCGTGGTCACAGGCAGATGTAACTGGGAAGTGACCATCTGTAAGCCTGGAAGAAAGGCCTCGCCAGAACCTTAGGGGAGGGAGGGAAGGAGGGGAGGGAGGAACAGAGGCTGGAAGGACTGGATGGGTTAGTGCCTAGGTTGTCCTACAGAGAACCATTTAATACCATCCTCTGCCACCTGCCACCTCTGCACCCTAAACATGCCAGAATCCTTTCGCTCCACTGCATACCCACTGGTGTGCCACCCGAAGTGAAACCCAGACACTCGAGTACAGTCACAGGCACCTGAGGGTTTTCCACTCTCAGCCTTCCAGCAACTTTGTAAACCCCTGCTGTGTTTTCCGTGGGTCATCAGCTTAGGGCACCCCACTGCATCTCTCACGGGGATAGAGAACTTTGTGCCGCCATGGGTCATTTGGCCGTTAATAGCATCCACGGGCCGTGTGAAATGATCAGCTTCAAATTAGCCTGCTATCGATTTATTGAGTTTTCGAGTCTGGTTTGCAGTTGCCTTGGCAGGGCCAGACTGAATCACTTTTGCAGGTTTCCCACAGCCTGTAGGTACTGAGCATCCGTGCAAGGGTAATTGAATTTCTGCTTATCCTAGAGCTGTGCGCTCACTGCCTTCTGGAAAGGTGGTTCCTGTCCTCTTCCTCATGGCATTGCACTCGCGTGTTGCTGTAAACTGTTTCTTCACAGCCCGTGCTTGCAAATTCACCTGTGTTTCCCCCACTCCTATAAGCTCCGAGAGAGCAGGGAATGTGACCAGCTTGTGTGTCTGGCACCTGGGTTAAAGGAACTCCCTGTAGGCACTGGGCAGCCGGACACTAACTCAGATGAGAGCAATGCTAGAATCGTCTGTCTCTTCTGGACCTTCTCCCTGTCTAGTGATTCTGTGTGGACCACAGCTTTTGCTTTCTGATGTGCCAGACTGCTCAGGTGCGAGGCAAGTGAAGATGGTCACAGATAAAGCTGCCTTTGTTTCCCTGGTTGCGGAGTGCCTTGGGGCCCTTCTGCCTCTCCTTGTATGCCACCAGGTCTGGAAGGTGTTTTTCCTCCAGGGTGGGCCTCCTGAGACAGAGCAGTGACTTTGTAGGGGAGACGGGAGAGAATCTCACCCTCACGCCCAGTGTGGGTTCCAGCGAATGAAGGGGAAGCAGGTGGAGCAAAGACTGCACATGTTCTGCTTCACGTCACGGTTTAAAGATGTTGTGTCATGGGCTCTTCATCCCTGGATGTGCCTGATCATTTGGTCTTTCTTTGGAGGTCTGCTTGGGTGATTTCGTCGGTTCTGTGCGAAGAGGAAACCAGCCCATGAGACATAGGTGAAAGGAAAGAAGGATTTGCCTAATGCTCCCTCGGTGACCTCTAAATGGATGAGGGGTCACCAACCATCCTCTTGAGGATCTGTCCAGGCAGCATCCCAGTGTCCTCATGTCTTCCTGCCTGCTGCTCCCTGATTTGGAAAAGCCAGGCCAGCCTGAGAACTGCAAGTTCCGTGTTGTGCTGGTGGTGTGGTGGGCCCTTGGGGCTGTCTCTGGACCCTGCTGTACTCCTGCAGAGGAGGCTCCTGTTTGCAGGGCTTCCTGCTGGGCCAAGAGGCCCTCTGTTTACCTGCACTTTGCTCATGCGCAGTTAGCCTGTTTGTGCACTGCCTGTGTTGTTGCTCCCTGGGGGAAAAAAAAAAACCAGAATTATTTCTCCCAAAAAAAAGAACTCATAAATGCACAAGTTTTCGAGCTCTCATCTTAAAGGGATGCGATGAACACTTGTAATACAGGTTGATGAAACTGAGAAAAACCAGCAGAACTCAAAACGATTCTTTTCTTCTCTTTTTTTTTTTTTCTGCCTTCTTAGGTCTGGAGTTGAGACTTTACCCCATAATGCCAAGGTTCATTACAACTATGCCAACTTCCTGAAGGACCAAGGTCGGAACAAGGAAGCCATCTACCACTACAGGACCGCCCTCAAGTAAGCTCGTGCAGGGTGCGGCTTCCTGTGCACTTGACATCTTGGTTGATGTCACTCTTCTCCTCCCACTGTGTGTGCAGAGCGTGTCGTGTTCATTTTGGGAGCATCTCCGTGAACACAGGCCAGCTCTTTAAACCTTTCAGCTTAGGGTTCTAGTCTGTTGGAATGTGATACATAACAGTGGTACTAACTCTATGCAGTGTCCCGTGGCAGTTTTTATCATTGCATGCCATGCCACAAGGGAACACCCGGTTGAACACTGCACAAGCCATCGTCACAAACACTCTCATCCGATCTCTAGGTATTTGTTTGCAGTGAATTATTCATTCTGTCCATGTGGAGAGTCCTGGGCCCTCCCGTATCTGAATGGATGCTTATGAAGGCAAATACTTGAGTACAGAGAGGAGATGGTGTGAGCATTGTATGAAGCAAGAACAAGGCACGGCATGCAGTGGACGTGTTGGGTAAAATGTCCATCTCATGTGCCTGTGTGTGAATTCACAAGCCCTCTCCTCATGCTCCTACACACACACACACACACACACACACACACACACACCACACTCTTAGCTATGACCTTGAGACATAAAGGAAACTTGATTTACATGTGAGCTGTGGCTACTCTGCTGATGCAGTTCTGACCTGCAATGGGGTTGTCGCTGATGAGTCTGGACAGTAACCATGTTTAATCTTCAACACATGCACCCCTGATAAGTGACACAGCCTGGGGCCCCGTGTAGGTAAGGTCTGTGTGTTGTGCCCCCCTCCTTTGCCGAGTCCCGCAGCGCTCACAGAAGCCTCTGTAAAGGTTTACAAGCTTCAGGGTTGGTTATTGGATTTTATTTATTTTAATCTATCCTAAAATAGGGACACAAGTATAGATAAACCCACCGGTTCGCTTCCCAAACACCCACAACAGGTAAGGGCTGCAGCAGACCAAAGCCAAGAGCCAGAAGTCCTGTCCAGGTTTCCCACGTGGGTGGCAGGCACTCAAGTGCTTGATCCATCACCTGCTGCCTCCCACATTAGCAGGAAGCCAGAGTCAGAAGCAGAGCTGGAGCTCCAGCCGGGTCTTCACGGGTAGGGTTCACACGCAAGTGTCCTGAGTGGTGACGCAAGCACCGTTCCAAACACCTGCCCCTGGTGGTGCACCTTCAGTTGGATTTTCTGAGTTTTTCCCTTTTCCACGTTCTTAAAATACATGTCCCACCCAAACTACCTTTCTTGAAAGTTGACTGTGAGAATCTTCCAAGGATCTGGTTTAAAACCATCAGTGTCAGGGACCTCACGAGCATATCTTTGGTATCAAATCAAAATATTTTAGAGGTGAGGGACTGCTAGTTATGACACATGTTTTAAACCATACATATCAAGTCCATTACCAAATATTTTTCCCACATACTGCAGGAAGTACCCATTATAAAGGTATAGTTGTACCAAAGCTTTTTCATTGAGGAACACATTTTTTTATCAAGCAATGGAATGCCATGCTTAACTTATAGGAAAGAATAATATTCTTTCAGTGGAAGACAGTTTCCAAAATATTTGCAATGCATATCTCTGGCTTACAGGTTATGCATATTTCTCCTTTACATTTTCTGTGATTTCATTCACTCCACAATGAATCTGTATTGATTTGATCCTTTAGGGATACATGCCAAATATATTTGTGTTTTAATAATTAATGTTCAAGGATTTTTAGATTGTGACCTTGAAAACAGGAGAAAAGCAGCTAGTTTGTGTGAAAAATGTTGGTTGGAAAGAAGCATGGCAGGATCTTTTAAATCCATGCTTCACTGGAACAATTTCCAGTCAAGTTGGAGCAAAAAATATAAGACTGGCCCTAAGGCATAACTTAAGCACGCTTCTCCCACAGTTGATTTTCCAGAATTATAGTGGCTGGTTGGGTACCTCCACTTCCTGCTTGTGAAACAACAAAAATAAAATATTTGCTTCAGAAACTGTGCTTCTGGAAGAAATAATGTCCCCTGAGAAATGGGCAAAAGCAATTAATGCTATAAATAAATTGCCCGGTAATCAGTGAGTTATCCTACACCGTCGGCTGGGTTGAAAATATTTTTGATTTAAAACATCTGCCTCTTTGCGTGGATGCTTTTTCAGTGAAGTTTCAGTGGATGTGATTCTGTTTTTAAATTCTTTTTTTTTTAACTTTTTTATGTATTTATTTATTTGGAAAGTAATAGATGACAGAGAGGCAGAACTCTCCCATCTGCTCATCCATTCCCCAAGTACCCTCAATAGCCGGGGCTAGGTCGGGGCAAAGTTGGGAACCAGCAGTTCCCTTGGGGAGAGGTCTCGATGATGCTGGAGACCCAACCACTACTGCAGTTGCCTGCTGCCTGCCAGAGGTGCTTATTAGCAAGAGGCTGGGATCAGGAAAGCTGAGGCTGCGATCAGGTGCTCTAAGCTACAGTGTGTGACCGTGCCAAGCATCATCCCACATAATGATTCCAGCAAACACCTGCTTCTGATTATGCCACTGAAAATATCTGTCTGCATAAGACACAGCACTGAAATCAGTCACCCCACTGCTCTCACACCCCTCCTCCATCTTTAGCCATCCACTTTTTTCTATATTCACACTCTGCCAAAAAAAAAAAAAGAGTAATTAGTGAAACTCAGGGTTCAAGGCACCATTATTTGAAGTCAGTTCTAGCAATTATCCATTGCTGTTATAATAAGCGTTTGGGTCTCCAAGGTGCAGGTAAAATTAGTCATCAGGGTTGTGTCTACCCCTGTCTATTCCTGGCTGGCCTCTACTTCTAAAAATAACCTCCCAGTAAGTGGATAATTATAGACAACCCGAACATTTCAGTTTCTTTAAAGCTTTATTTTTTAAATAATGGGAAGCCCTTCTGCCCTCATTTATTGTATTGCTGTAGTGCAGTGCACATCTCCCCTGGGAAATGACACCAAAAAGATTCTACAGTGAAAGACTCAAATCATCAGAATAATACTCCTTTTGCTCTCTCCCAAGGCGAGCACCAGTGCTGGCTGTGGGGTGTGGCTCTGCAGGTGCATCCTTACTGCATTGCTAACAAGCTTGAGATCTCCCACAGTGGAACAGCAGAAACCCACAGCGTACTGACTGCCTGCCTTCAAAGCTTCATAGCCATTCATCACTCTGGTAATGGTTCCTACCATTGCACCCCACGGGATGGGAAAAGAAAGTCAGGAACCACCCAGCAATTCAACCCTCTGTGCTCAGGCACGCCCAGGAAGCCCTACACCCAGGGGCTGAAGGCAGACACCATGCCTGGGAAAATCCAGAAGACACCGCATGTGTGTCTGACCACTTCAAAAAGTCTGTAAAAAGAAGGGTAGAACTGAGAAAAAACTTGAAATTTTGTATGGAGGCATAATGGGCATATGCAGCCTCAACTTTTTTTCCTAATTCTTGCCCCTATGGAGATAAGAATTCAAAGCAGAGTCATAAATACAGTACAAAATGAGAGCAGGATTAACTTTTTTCATTTTTAAATTGGATTTCATTTTATAACATCGTTTCATAGGCTCTGAGGTTCCCCCATCCCCTCCTCGTGCCCTCCCCCCATGGCTGATTTCTCCACCTTATTGCAGTATTACAGTTCAAATTCAGTCTTGTTTCTTTCATTGCAAGCATGTGCCATGCATAGAGTCCAGCATCTTATTGTCCAGTTCAATTCAACAGTTTCTTGGGGAGACCAACTCTGGTCTAAAAGCAGAGCTGGCAGAATATCGTTCCGACCAATTAAAAGCCATGACATAACATCAACAACAGTTTCCAACATAATGGGGTTAATTGACATTGTATTGTGACTGATATGTTAGAAAATGCTGGTTCTTAACCACATCCTGTGACTACTTCATTAACATTTCAATTTTAGTTTGTATACAACCAGCTGCTATACACCTTAAAATGGCTAGAGGGTACTATTCAGCTATTTCATGTCTATTTCATTTTAGTATTTAGCAGTTTATTGTGTTGAAGCATAATTTTTACTGAACTTGGCAGATTTTAGGATAGTTTAAACTAGCTTATACCTTTAGCAAGGCATGTGACACCCATTGAGGCATAGAATATTGTTGGGAGGGGTGTGCAGAGAAATCCTACATGCCCTAGTTAGGAGTAGTTTATTTTCATGTCCTACCTAGTAAGGTATGTGTGAGTCCCCACTGATCGTTTCCTGTTTAGTTCTAAGCTTTCCTTGTTGTTCTCTGTCTATTCTAATTTTTCTTGTTGTTTGTTTTGTTTCGTTTTGTTTGGGGGGGGGGGCACCAAGGTGACACTGATGGTCATTGCAGGAGAGGGTGGAGATGCAAAGTTGGAACTAAGCAAGGACCAGAGAAAGCTCCTCTCCCTGGTCTCGAAGGGAGTTTACTGTTCTTCTGTTTCTGTAGACCGCTCAGGCTCCTGGCTGTTGTTCCGGTGACACTAGACTCTGCAAGGAGGGATTTGGACTTTTTCTATCCCATGTGGGAGATTCAAATGGGAGTGGATGACCTCAGAGTACTTGGCCTCCGAAGGCACTCCAATTCCCCGTGGTCTCCTTGGCAGTTGGGATGCAGTCCTTGGTGCACATACTGATAGTGCTTGGTGAGGATCCGGGAGTCGCCAGGGTTGGGATACAAGTGTCTGTCCTCCTGTCTACGAGCAGGATTAACTTAAAATGAGCGAGTCGATGTGTATGTCAGTGTGGGTCACCCCACATGGGGAAATACCCATCAACAGTGAGCCAGAGTATGGGAGGAGGCCAGAGAATAATCCAAACCCAAGGGCCAGGGACCATCAATAAAAAAAGCTATTCTTGGGCCCAGCACGATAACCTAATGGCTAAAGTCCCTGCCTTTCACGTGCTGGGATCCCAGATAGGCACCGGTTCTAATCCCGGCAGCTCCACTTCCCATCCAGCTCCCTGCTTTTGGCCTGGGAAAGCAATTGAGGATGGCCCAAAGCCTTGGGACCCTGCACCTGCGTGGAAGATCCAGAAGAGGCTCGG